TCTACTCATGTTCAGTATGTAGCATTTTTTTATCACTTAAATGCAGTAAATACAAATTTCCTAAAATTTCAGTTATATGGACTCATAGATCATTATATTGATTTGTAGATATCAGTAATGATAATTGGGTTTATGAAGTCACTTTTGTGATGAACTTTTCACATCTGTGAAGTAATCCTAGCACAAGTAGAGCCTTAGCACATGTTCACTGGATAAATGAAAAGACAGCTCCATTAGAGGAGCTGTCCAATTTCAGGATTTTATGACCCTACCAATGAAACCTCACATTTCTAAGTGGACCAGGATGGTGCCATAAACAGAATATTTTATAGGACTAGGTTCAGATGATACAAAGGAGAGATGAAGAACTCTTGTCTTCTCCAGATTACTTCTCCAATTCCACATCAAACCGCAAGAGATCTTTATTCACAGAGTAAGGTAAGTACATGTTGCCTCACAAACATCACAACTTTACATCCTCTCTACTTCAAACTCTCCCCTGACTCCATATCAATTTCATACTATCATATGAATTCAAGATTCAGATGACCAGTACCCTTCCTAATATTGCCTACATTTGTGAGGTGGTTTTTATTTTCTACGTTTATATTCTTGCTTTGTTTCCCAGGAAACAGTGTAGCTTTGGGTTACCTTTCTTCTTTTCTTGCTCATTACATATACCTTACATAGAAGTTTTTTGCAAATTTCACCTATGACCTTTCCATGTCTCCTCTCAAAAGTCATGCTTTTATTACCTGTTCATAGGCATCGTCTTTTGTTTTTTTTTTCGGGTTTTCCTTCCAAATCTCTTTCACCAGACCATTCAATACTGCCAAGAATTTACTTCCACTCCAGCAGAGTAGCGATATGCTCGTCAAGCATGCAAGGAAAGTAGAAGTGTGTAAGAGAAAAGTGATTCTGGAGCCAATAGGTTTCTCTGCTAGGGAAACTATCCACAACAACATAATAACTACAGGAGAAGATGTCAAGAGTTATATTATAAACACGTTTTAAACTGAATTGGAATCCAAAGTAGGTCTTATGCAGAGGATCATTCATATTTCCAAGTAATGCCTTGTGTGTTTTGTAAGTATAAAGAGAGAAAAGTTACTTATCCATAAAGATGTTTGCCCAATCTTATTCACTTGGATACTTATTTAAAGAGACTTATACAGTATTTGCTATAGCCAATTGTGATATTTAAGGTTGTATGTAAACTTATCTGAGCCAGAATACTAGGTAGCTTGGCCCCTAGGATATAACCACCCCACATCATGAAATCTGATAAAATATATTCACTTCCAAGATGAGATCTGATATGAGTAGCCAATCAATTTAAAGATGATTTCCTTGTATGTGAAGCCTACTTCCAATATAAGTTGACAGTCTGGAAAATCATTCTTTCTTTTTGTTTTATTAGACCTTGCATCTGGCTCTCATCAACTGACTTCCAGTTCTTTGAATTTGACCCAGGAGCCTGCCATACTGTCTGCTAGTCCTAGAGGTCATCAACAGTCTGACATCTTACTTACCAATTTTTAGTCCACCAGTCCCAGTAGCTATGGAATTCAGGAGAAGTCTGTAGCTTACCATAGGACCCACAAACTTGGAACTTGCCAGCCTCTACAATTGTGCGATTCATTTCCTTGAGATAAATCTCAGTATCTCTCTCTATATATATCTCATTCTCACTCTCGCTCACCATATATACACATATATAAGATTCACTCATTTTATGTATCTATAGAACCTAGCTTACAACACTACTAATACCTATTCTACATTTATCTGGTGTTTTTCATAGTTGAAAAGAAATCTGAACAGAAAACAGATGACAAAAAATAGATATCATCCAATGGTATTCTTATTGGCTACCTCTCAGTAAGTAGGAACAATATAAAACTAGAGTGCACACTAGAGCAAGAATTTCATTAGAACACTTCACATCTACACGGATGAAAAAAACACACAGAATGGAGCTCTGGAACTCCACCCTGGGAAGTGGCTTCATCTTGATGGGCATCCTGAAGGACAGTGGCTCTCCTGAACTGCTC